ATATATATATATATATATATATATATGTATGTATGTATGTATATTTATGTAGATGTATGTAAATGTATTTATGTATTTACTTTTTTTTTTCTTTTTTTTCTCTTGGTTTATCGATGTATATGTTTGGGTATTTATTTGGTTTTTTTAGTTTTTTAATCTTATGTGGTGATATATGTGGGGTGGCTAGCTAGTTATGCAGATAGCTAGCTAGCTAGCTAGCTAGCTAGCTAGCTACGTAGCTAGCTATATAGATAGCTAGTTATGTAGCTAGCTAGCTAGCTGCCGAGCTGCCTTTCAGGGTTTATAGTGTAGGGTTTAGGGTTTAGGGTTTAGGGTTTAGGGTTTAGGGTTTGTGTGTGTATAGACCTGGAGGCTGCTCTGGAGCTGGGGGGGGATTGGTTGCTGCAGAAGGGGTACGCTTGGCCTGAAGACAAAGAACACTGCGAGGAGAACGGGCGGATGCTTACTGCGGGTAAACCCTAAACCCTAAACCCTAAACCCTAAACCCTAGATGCTAAACCCTAAACCCTAAACCCTAGCAATGGAGACTCTGGGGTTTATTTTGATAGGCTTGAAGCCACAAACCACAAACAGCGACTCGTCATCCATGTTTTCTTACTTTTATCTTAAATTAGGGTTTAGGGTTTAGCATTCAGGATTTAGGGTTTAGGGTTTAGGGTTTAGGGTTTAGGGTTTAGGGTTTAGGGTGTTTGTTGCAGACCCTTCTAAGGTCTCGATAAGAGCAAAGAAAAGGGGGCTGCCGCAGATGGGGACCCTCGGGGCTGGCAACCACTACTGTGAAGTGCAGGTACACAAACCCTAAACCCTAAACCCTAAACCCTAAACCCTAAACCCTAAACCCTAAACCCTGATTGGAGGTTTAGTGTTAGAGCTGTGGGGCCTCGAGAAACAACTGGGTGCTTCGGGTGTACAGACAGCTACTATGTTGTATACGTGACGCCCCCTAGGGTTTATAGATCAGAGTTTAGGGTTTAGGGTTTAGGGTTTAGGGTTTGAGCTTGTTTGTTTAGGTTGTTGACGAGGTGTATGATGAATTCGCCGCAGATAAAATGGGCCTCGAGGTTTGCTCCCCAAACCCTAAACCCTAAACCCTAAACCCTTCATATACGCCCTGAAGCATACTCTGCCTGCAAACCCTAAACCCTAAACCCTAAACCTTAATTTGTATGTATATCGAATCATCTTTTCTTATTCCACGCATATAAAGTGCCGGCGTTTGTCTGCGTGTACAAGGGTTTAGTGTTTGGCGTGTACATAATCTCCCCATTAGGGTTTAGGGTTTAGGGTTTAGGGTTTAGGGTTTAGGGTTTAGGGTTTGTGTATAGAAAGGCCAAGTATGCGTGATGATACACTCCGGGAGCAGGGGTTTGGGGCACCAGGTAGCCACCGACGCTCTCGTGACGATGGAGGGATGCATGCAGCGCAACAA